GTACTTCACTGCTGAGTGGTATCTTTTACTTCAAATCGAACAGAGTCTCCAAAACTTTGAACAGTGTTCAGATAGGTATGAGGTTTAAGGGAACCTTCAGGAGTTTAAAGAGGACCTCTTCTTAACAGATACCTATTTCTCGAATATGACATCCTCCCAGATTAATGCTATATGTTTAAGACTTGGCATTTCTATAAAGTTTTCCATATATTTCTGCTCCTTAGTGCTTTGCAGGCCTGAGATATGTTAGTCCTTCAGCAAATATTTGAAGAGAGAAAGGCAGTAAGGAACGAGAGGATGGCCACGTGGGTATCAGAGGGATGGGAAATGCACGCTTCAGGTGAGCAGAGCAGGCCCCAGGGCCAGCATGTCAGCGGCACCAACAGGAGCATTCTCACTGCTTTTGCGTGGTTCTATCGCCACCTAGCAATCTTGAGGAGAAATGTCCCTTTCTGAGCAAATCTGTCTTTCTCTGCTGATGTCATCTGCCCACCTACAAATAGTTACCTTTAGACCCCTAGGTCAACAGCTCTTCCCACACATAGAACTGTGTGCTTTGTCTTTTTTCATTAGGAGTCTTCTTTAGTAGTTGTTTCCAAGACCTGCCGCATTTAAAGAGTAATATAAAAATTTGGTTTCACTGAAGATTAGCAATACTTAAATTTTCTCAGCCCCCGAAAGTGGGTTTTGTCATTTCTTTAGAAGCTCTTTGCTGATAAGAACCATGCCTTGTTCATCGCTGGGGCCTCAGCTCTACCATGAACACCCCTAGTGCACACCCATATCCAACCTTGACTTTAGGACCAGGTCAAATGCTGTCTCCTCCTTGAAACTTGTACAACAATGGTTTCTGCTAATTCCACATTTATCATGTGCTGGGGCTCTATGAGCATTGTCTCATGTAATTCTCATGGCGATCCTGTGAGGTCGGTATGATTTCTTTCATCTTATAGTCAAGGGAACTGAGGCATAGTGAAGTGACACAACTTTTCCTCTGCAAAGCTGGCATTCAAATACAGCTGGCTCCCCTCCCCAGGCCTAGGACCCTCCTCTCATCACATACTCTTTGACTCCCCCAGCCAAAGTGATATCTTCATCCTCTGCCAGTAATTTTTTTCTGTCTTCTTCATGCCATTTTTGACTCCCCACTTCTCCCTCCAACCTCCCTTTATAGTCCCTCTTTCTCTAAACCAGAAACTCAGACTCCAAGAGGGACATCCTTCCCTGCTGTGTCCTTTAAGTACACGCACACTCTCATACGTGGGGGTACCCACTCAGGAAAGCTATGTTCATTCATCCACTTCACTTGTAAAACTGCAACTGTTTACATATCAAAAGGTTATCAATTCTGATTTTGTATTTTCCAAAGGTGGGAATCTAAGGATCCCTGGTATCAAAATAACTCAAGACCTTTAGTTAATGATTTGCATAGATATTTGAACAGAGAGCTGAGAAACATCTGAAAGCAGACCTGTCTGGGAACAGACCTGAGAAACATCTGAAAGCAAACCTGTCTGGGAAAAGGTTTACCAAAAAAAAAGCTCGGAAAAAGTTTTCCTTTTTTTTTGTTTTTTTTTTTTTTTTTTTAGTAAACGGATTGGCAGGCAGGGAGCAAAGAGGTCTGTCGGTGCTCCATCCTTGAGAAGGCTGAGTAGAGGCACCAAAGAAAACATTTCTCAAAACCCTTCGGAGTGTGGCTGTGTTGTGAGTGACAAGCTTTGTGTGTAACGTCTCCAGAGTCCTCTGCCTGAGCTAGGCTACCTGAACCAACCCTGATCAGACTCCCTGGGGAGGTGAGCATGGTCTGACCACAGACTGCCTGGACCAAGGCGGAGGAAGGCAGCCGCCCTTCAGTGTGGGAGAAGAGCAAGCACAGGGTTCTGAGAGAAAGGAGTCCTGGCCTGCACTTTGTATGAGAGAGCGTGGGATAAGGGAGGCAGCCAAAAGCAGAATTTGGGTTAAGTAGGTAGGAAATTAAGGGTCAGTGGGGGAAAGAAGAAGAAAGAAATAACAGGTGTGGGCAGAGGTTAAGTTCTAGACATTGAAAAATGATGTGGGATGGACGCAGGTCAATCGTCTGACAGTGTTTTAGTGCTACGAGCCTGAAGTCCCTGCCATGCCAGGCATGACCCTTCACCCCTTGGACTCTGGGGAGGTCCAGGAGCCACTGGAGAGGTGCCTGGCAGTGAGTGGGCACGCGGGGGCTCGGGCGGTGGCTAGACCAGTACAGAGCAGTGTACTATTTTATCAACCACTACTCCCATCCGGTATAC